TCCTTTGCGTCTCCCCTCTCATGTCGACAAAGCAGCTTGCTTTGTCAACAGAACTGGATGTAGTCTAGACGCTCTTTGTCGACAGTATCTGTCGACAAAGCCTCTGTCGACAAAAGCCTGTAGTCTAGACATACCCTAAGGTGCCACAGGATTTCTTGTTGTTTATGCAGATTCAGACTAACATGGCTATCGCTCTGATACTGAGGGTTTCAGCTTATTCTTTGCTCACCTACTTGTGTCAGTGTTTCTTAGCTCTACAGCGTAAAATAGCTCAGTTACAATCTTGCAGGCTTCAGCCCACAGGCCTTGTGTTTCAAGCTTACTTACTGAGACACCTAATACAGAATTTTTCCTTCATCCTGTTCAGTCTTATACTTCTATAGCCCTACAGCTTAACTCTATTAAGCATACAGTGATTATTGGTGACCTAACATGCCAATTCATCATAAACACACAATAAAGGAACCAGCTGTTAAAATAATCGGCTACACGGTCCTATAAAATGCTGGGAGTTGAACAGTGGGGCACTTCCAGCCATGGGCGACCATGTTGTGAGAACCGACTAGAGAGTTTCAGCTCAGAGGAGATATCAGACCACGAGCGAATGAAGGTTTGATTTCAACTTCTTTTTTATCATCACTAGTGGTTGGAACTGTCCTTGCTGCTACGTTTCCTGGGCTGGATGCCGACCGGATTCATCTCTTCTTACTCCCAGTCACAACCACTCTAGTTGAGTACAACTTGTTCTCGGGTTCCTTATGCCCCACAATCATCAGAAAAGCCTGACCAGCTGCAGCCACCTCACCAGGGCGTGAGATCTTCAGGCCTGTCCCCAGACACCAGTGTCTCTAGACCCCCTTCTCTATCATTCTGTCTGCTCCTTCGCTGTCATCTCCTCCCCTATTTCCTCAGTGCGTTCCCCAAGCACCTGCCCACCTGCCCCACCTCCAATAGTCACAAGAGCAATGACATGTGGAGGGAAGTGCCAGAGCCAGCCCCAGTCTTTCTCACGGAGGCTCCTGCTCAACCCTCCTATAGTCCCAGCCCTGCACTTTGCACCTGCAGGTGAATGTGTCTACAAACCGTGGAGGTGCATAATCTCATTCTATCGGGGCTGTGGCTTTGGAGCTGCATCAGGGCACAGAGCTTTGCTGGAGGGCTAGAGGGAGAGTTTCCAGATGTCCATTTTTCCACTAGAATGTCCGGTCAAAAAGGGGAACCTGGCAAAGTCAGGTCATCTGGTGAGTCCAGGGAGAGGTGGGAGTGAGCAGGCCGGGGGAGGGTGGAGAGCAAGCGATGGAGGGAAAGCAGTGAGTGTGGGGCGGGGCCTCATGAAAAGGCGGGGCAGGAGGTGGGGCAAAGTTGTTCGGTTTTCAACAATGAGAATGTTGGTGACCTGGAGAGGGTGAACGGAGGGAGCAGGGAGTGGGGCCACGGGGATGGGGCAGAAAGGCCATGAGACGGGCTTTCAGTGAACTAACAGGGACATAGGAATGACCATATTTGATCAGATCCAAGGTCTTTCTAGTCTCTCTCTAAGCACTTCACAGAAAGGTGCAAGAGACCATGCAAAAACAGGTATGAAATTACCTGCTCCCAAATTAGAGGTTGGCTTATTCCAGGAAACATATACAATGAATTTTTAGATATGAGCTCAGAAAAGAAGAATTAGCATATATTCTACATAAAGGATATTGGTGTCCTAACAACCTGACTTTATGGGCCAATGTAATGGGCATTCAAGTCCAAAATTCAGCCTACTTTAAAATTGCTAATTTTAAAAACCAATAGTTTACCTATTCAATTATAGTTGTGTCTGTGTGTTTTAGTTCAGTGGCTAAAAGTCTATCTGCTTTTAAAGTTTGTTTCCTATGGAATAGGGTGAACTCGTATTCACTGTGTCACTTATTCACTCATGGACTCAGGAAGATAATTTCTGGCCACTGTTAGTTGATTTAAATCAAGCTCTTCTGAAGATAACAGGTACACTGATTGACATTGGCTCATCACCTGGCCCAAATTACACCCTGAGCCAATCTGCCACAATGGTTTTTGCTTAGCTATGCTGACGTCCCATTATGATGTTACTTTGTAGAGGGGGGTTGGTTATTTTTAACACAGTGCACTTTGGGAATTATACCTGCACAACTTCTTGTCATGACCATGAAGGTTAGCCAGCAGCCTGGGGACTAAGGGGTTAACTGTACCTAGCCAGGTAGCAGTTAGCCAATAGAAATGCAGGTAGGGATTTCAAACTGAGACAAAGGAATTTTGGGGGTTTTCCCTCCTTTGTCTCTGGGCCGGTTTGCTCTAGATACTGAGGGAGACAGAAGACATGTCTCTCTCCAAGAAAAAGACTCTTCAGAATGTGTAAGTAGGGCAAAGTCTAGATAAATCCGTCAGGTTTTAGTCTTTTCTGGTTTGGGAATTTGGAGCTAAGGTCTGTGTTTCAGAAATGGGTTTTCCTCTCTTTTGTAACTAAGTTTTGGCCCATGGGAAAATTCCCCATGAGTTTATTAATTGGTGGCTCTTACCATCTAGCCAATCCAACTACGCTTGTAACAGGAGGATTGTTTTTATAATAAAAGTTCTTTCTTTGTTGTTAACCTGGTATTGGTTCAGTTCTGTGTCCTGGAAAATCTGTCTGTGGCATTATCTGTCTGTGGGGTCTGCGTGCCTCTGACTAGGGGACAGCAACCATAGGCTGCAGATTGTCTGTTCTCTTTTCTTGTTCAAGCTCTTTGGGAAAAAGAGCTTGGGGTGCTCTGGAGTTTGTTTCAGTGTCCACCCTGTTTGTGGGTTCAAAAGCACTTGATGGCGGCAGTGAATTTTTATCCCCCAAATCTAGGTTTTTTAGGATTTTGGGGGGAAGTTTTATACCAAAGCCTGGAAAGAGAAGGTTTTGGGGTTGCTTTTGCTTTTGCTTTTTTCTGTATTCATCGTGCCAAAGTGGGGAATCAGCCTTGTCACTGCTACTTTAGCAGCATCCGTGGAGGTATTGGACACTGCGCTGTGAGAACGGTGCTGGTGCTTTAGAGGGGCCTGCAAACGGAAACTTTGTTTTGATTGTTTGAAAGATGTTGCTAGAGGCTAATTGCCTGGCTGTGAAAAAAGTAATTTCTATAGTGAGCTCAGAATTGTGATCCTTTCACTGCCTCCGAATGCCAAAAAAGTT